AGAAGCCCTGCACTCTGTACGAGGTTGTATTAATTGGATTCTGTCCAAGAAAACATCATAAACCTTTTCATCCAAGTATGAATTCCAGATTGGGAAACCATATAAATATTTTTAATAAATTCATATACTTTTTTAAAGAAATGTTCTATTCACAAAAATATTAAATGATAGTGATCAGCCACTAAGTTATACCAGAATTCATTTTCATCAGCTTCCCCCTGTTATGACCCCCTGCAGGGAACCACCTAGGGTGCAGGTATAATTTTGTGATGAATGATAAAAAATTGCCCAATGTAAATGCCAAGCCATAGAAATATTTTTATTACCATGGTCATGACAACTACCCTGTCAGTTTGATTGCAATATCAAAACTTGTTATTTACACTATAAAACAAACTCAGTTTTTTCCATTCCTATCCAACTCAAATCATGCTGGCCACGAAAACAATTTCCTGATTGCCGATACAATAAATTGCCAAATGCCTGACAATTTGGGCCAGCGACGCCCCTGAATGCTACAATGATAGCAACCTCTATTGCTATTACATCTCCAACCTTGAATGTCCTATTTAGTACAGTAGTTAATTAATTAATGGCAGTAATCAACATGAAGTCAAGTACATTTCTGGCCATTGGTGAGAAATATTGTCCAGAAGTACAGTGAAATAACAAAAAAGGTGCACTAAGAGCATTGTGGCTTAATGATCTAATGAGATAATTAACCAAAGATAGCTGGTAGACATGCAGATGGACTGGTTAACCCATTCAAATACCAAAATCAAAGTCCAATACTTTCCCCTTGACGAGAAAAAATTCTGGCATTAAACAGCTTAAAATAACAAAGTAGGGCAAACTGAGGCACATTGCAGCTTAACTTGCTCCAACTATCATTACAAACTGTAAATCTTTAATAATAAAATTCCTATCCAGACACAAAATTTGGTTACAATTCAATAATTTGAAAAGTGCTGTTGCATCCCTAACCTACTAAACTGCTTGCAAATATTAAAGGAAAGCTATAAGGGCAGTTAAAAAATATAACAAGGATTTGGTTTATAAATTGTTAATTTCTAGAGATGATAACACAATACAAACATGGAATTCACTATATTCATATTTTTAATGATATGTGTTATAGTCTAAATTCCTTTTAATATTCCTCTGATATACAAATCTTCTGAAAACTTTAATATTATCAAGGTTTATAAACGACTTAATATTAGAATTGAGACTCTCTTCAGGTATTTTAATACTACAGTAGCAATTAATACACAGTACATTGTAATTGTTTTTGTTCTTGAAAATTGCCCTTTCCACGCGCTCTTTCAACCATTAGAAACATAATAGCGTTAAACGGCTAAATTATGCTGGAGGAACCACAAATGTCTCTACATTTAAAGCTTGTTCAAACTGACACAGAGGTGAATGGACAAGATTACAATTAATTGTAACATTTTTCTTCGACAACAGCACTCTTCGCGGCTCCTGTCGGCTCTATACTGACCCTGTTTCACACGCAATATTTTCCTTATTCAGTCGCTAACACACCTTTTGTATCCCACTATGAAGAACATCAACATTTCCACCAAAATCCCGAAAAAATAATCATTTTATAGACGAAACAATAAAATATTTCAAACAATTTGTTTTGCTTTTGGCAACGCATGCGCAGTTCGGTCGACATACAGTTTTCTGTATGTCTGAGATGGATTATCCCAGAGCCTTCGTTTCCTTCCCAAGGATCGCAGGCTCGGGGAACGAGATTGATCAAATCACTTCTGCGTCGGCTTGTCCCAGGGCTTACGGCAACGCAGGCAGCCGAGAAGCCCTGGGAACGAGGATGGGGGATGATTGAATAAAACGCATGTTCCGTGCAGGCTCACCTTTCTCCCAGTGAGCCTGTTCGCAGGCTATTTAATATTGTGATTGACTGTAAATAATTTATTACATAACACAATACAAACTAGCATAACTAGAGACCTAAATAAAAAGTCTACTAAGATTTCTAGTAGGTCTCTAGCCCGCACTCTACAATTATTGTAAATATACTACACATAAATGCATTGTACATGGGGAAAATTTTTAAAATAAATAAATAAATAAAATAAATATAAATCTAGTCACACTGTTGGTATTACTGATTCAAACTGATTTGCCCATGCAGACATTGACAATAGTACAGCAAATGCATATATGGAATATTGCTAAATTATTTTATACAATTACTTTATGGTTTCCGTGTTTGGATGGCCTGATCCAAACACGCGGGAATGTTGCGAGAGTTAAGAAAAGCGCGCGAAAGCACGAGCCGAAGGCGAGTGATTTTGCGCGCTTTTCTTAACTCGAGCAACATTCCCAAGTGTTTGGATCAGGCCATCCTAACAGGGAAACCATAAAGTAATTGTTTTATAAAATAACAACAACACGATAGTCTTCCGTGTTTGGATGGCCTGATCCAAACACGGGTTTCGACCAATCAGAGCACGCATTATATACATGTTATTTTATAAAGCTATTTCTTACCAGTCTGATGTTTGCCACATGAGTGGATTACGTTTCTAGTGATTTCCACAATTTATCGGAAATTTTTCGCGACATTTTTACGCTTATTTTCACGAAAATTACGTAGCTATAAATGAATATTTTATGGTCTTCGTTTTCGTAATACGAATTTACGAAAACGAAGATGGGTCTTCGTTTTCGTAATTACGAAGGCCGAAGACCCATCTTAGGTCTTCGGTCCTCGTTTTCGTAGGTCTTTGTTTTCGAAACACCCGTGGTGTAAGCGGTGTTTATGAATAAATGGATTCAAATCTGTCACACGTGGTTGATTCTAACTGACAATCGATTGCTCACTTGATCACTGTTATTGTGAGTGCTTTTATTCGCGTTTTAAGCGACGAAATTGGTATTATAGCGCATTTTTCTTGAACGTTTACAAAATACAGTAAGTAAACTATTTATTTTATCGTTTCTTATGTTTCAAAGCGTCGCTTGTAGTGCATTTTTGCTCCTTGAATTAATATGATTGCAGACCGAATCGGGAATGCACGTTGGCGCCACAGCCGCCACTTCTACATTTCAACTTACTACTTTTGTGCTGAGACTATACTCTGAATTTAAATGTGCTTTGAATATTGGCTAGTATTGTACCGTTGCAATGTTTCTAACTGTTTGAAAAATGGCGTTTATTTGTACCGTAGAATGCGTCATATAATTGTCATATAATTTCCGATGGGGAGCCCGCTAAAATACTGGCCTTACTGAACCGCTACTTTGTTAGACAAATCTTCGTGCTTTCCTCTATTTTTCCTTTATAGTTTATGCCATTTCGACTTTGACTGTTTTACACTATTAAACTACTTTCGTTGGTTGAAAGTTGAATCTTTCAAGTTGATATCAAGCGGCAACTGAATGTTTTTTTTAAGCAAATGTACATTGTACAGTACACTAGCGCCGATAAACCTGCATCTAAATCGAGTAAAGACAATACATTGAGTAATGCAAATCGTTAAAAATTTGCACAGCATTAATGGTAGCTTTGCTACTGGCTGATGGTAGCAGAAGTTGCTAATGGATTTACAAAGTGAGGAGGAAGGGACTAGCTTCCCATTTTGCATTTTGTCCCAATGGCATTGTTTTCATTTTGTCTGTTTTAGCATGGCAGTTGGGTTTAGCACTATTTTCCATCCAGCAAACCGCCCTGTCGATTTTCTAAAGCCGTTTCTTTTTGGATTTTTTCATTAATTCGGTTAGGGTTAGAATTAGGGGTGCGGCTAGGGTTAGGGGTTAGAGTAGGGGTAGGGTTTGGGGTAGTTACATAGCCATTTAACACCTCTTCCATCTTCCGAAAATGATGGCAGGTCAGTTTGCTGGATGGAAAATAGTGCTAACCGGCAGGTGCACGATTATATCCCATGTTTTGTGCATGCATGGATATGTTTCTTTTTTATTTTGAGCCCATGCAATCACAAGCTTTTAATTAATGAACCCTTTATACAGAATAGTATATTACCACAGAGTAGATACATATACAGAGTTATAACTAGTGTACCCACTGTTTTTGTGCGTGTGTTTGACAAGTTACTAGATGCATGCATCCCATTCATGCAAGTCTTCAACTTTGCGATACCAGATTTTAAATTTGGATACTGGAAATCACAAGCTCAGTATCCTGAGGGATACTAAGCTCAGTATCCTGAGGGGATACTGACAAAAATTCTGGCCACAACTGATATTTCTCAACAAAAGCCGTTGAAAATAATACAACAAGATAAACAAAGTGAAGGCAATCGAATTTGACTGAGCAGGATTAGGAAAGACGTGCTCAAAAAAGTGCCAAAGCCAAGCAAAGTATGAAGAAACAAAGCGTTGTCAAAAATGTAAAATGGTTTCGATCCGTAAGCCCGGATCTTCATCAGTGCTAATAATATGATGAAGATGAAGAAGATAAAGAAGAAGATCTTCACTGTTTTATCACCATGCAAACATACAAAGAACTTAATGTAAAATGACTTGAAAAAATCCTTTCCATGCATGGGTAACGCTCGTGAACGAAAAGATGTTTTGCAAATGTGGGGTATTAGATTTTATGGGTGGATACCAGACTTTTAGTTGCTAGTATCCCGTTGGATAGTATACTGTTGAAAAATTCAAGCCCTGCATTGGATGACGGCTCTCTTTAACTGCTTGTGGAACTTAGCAAGCATGCAGTTGATCATTTTTTGCCTGTTGCGTGAAAAAAATGGATACTGGTACATAAAAACGTAAGTTTCCGCAGTGTTTATGATGGCCAGTTACACCTCTGTAATTGTATCTACTCTGTGATATTACTGTATATTTTTAACCATGCTCCCCCATGCATTTAGGCTTTTCAAAAATGAAAATCCTGCATATTCTGAACCCTTCATTTTACCAAAGTGCACCCCAATGCATTCATTATACCCAATCATGTCCAAGAAATTTTCAGCATTTGATCCGATCTGCTCTTGATATGGCAGCTAGATTGAAACCTCTTGTACACTATTAAACGTAAGGGACTGGTCATTAATAATGGGAGGGGGTGGTGGGTGATAAATACCAAATATTGAACATTTTTTAGAGCCGCCCCAATCAAAAGACCTTTATTTTCAAAATGCCCCCATCTTCATCTAGAAAACTAAATTAGGACCCGGCCCCCTCCAACATTTAATTTGTTACAAAGGTTCTATTTTTAATAAATCAGTTACTATAAAATTATACCAAAAGGTGTCCTTTGAATGGTGAAGTCTAGCTATTTTGCATTGTTTTATATTTATAACATTAATTTAAAATTAGTTTTTAATTAAGAATATATTTTATTAAATTCATCCATACATAAGACAGACTAAATATTTAAGATGTATTCGAGTCAAACTGTTTCATTCTATTATATAAAATGTAACATAATTATAGTAACTTTTTTATTTGTTTTATAATATGTTTTCAATATTAAAAAATTGGGGTCCAGCCCCTAATATATGTTACAATTAATATTTTTCAGTTTGAGGCTGCCCCCAATTCAGGCAAAAGTAGTTGAAGCCACCCCCTTTTCTCACCCAGTAACATGCTGTAATTTACAGTTTCTAATTATTAAGATTTTATTCTAGTTCACAATGAGCAACATCACAGTTACAGTTACAACTGGAGCCTCCACTAGGTGAGTGTAAAAAAAAATCTAATTGGAATTCCTATGGGAATTTTTATTGGAAATAAAAATTGGCCCAAATTTCAATTGGAACCAATTGGAATTCCAATAGGAATTTTAGATTTGGAATTCCAATAGGAATTTAAATTTTCCTGTTGGAATCCATCAAATTTCGGACAGAAAAACTCGTTCCAATTGTAATCATGCATGCAAAGGCGCTGCTGCAGCCCGATTTCCGGTTCTGAAAGGCCCGATTTCAGGCAAACAGTGCATGCAAAACAGGCTGGTCATTTCCCATTGTGTAACTGCCCCGGCCCGCCACACTTAAACCCCACACTCAAGTAACCACAAAGACTCACAGACGTTGCTTTGCAACATCTGTGAGTAAAAAATGCATTCCAATTGAATTTTTTCATATGGGTTTTTATGCCGACTATCATAAATTAATTTTTTCTGCTTTAAATTATTTTCAGTGTTGAGTGTGATGTGGATCGAACATATTATCCTCACCTCCTTTTGATACCTGCTGTAAGTCTTGGTTGTTTCATTTCTTTGATACTTTAACCTAGACGATAAGACGATCGAGTAAAATTGTTTGACTTTAATGGACAATAAAATAATGGTATTTCATTGTACTCATGCAGTGTCCAACACCAAACGATTTAAATTTAATGGATCTGTCTAATGCCAGAAAATTTTACTCCTCAAAGGGAGTCTGAGGCTGGCACTCAATATGGATTAAAAATATAATGAATTTTAAAGAAAACATTTCTAGACTGCAAACAGTCTCAGTGACCTTTAAAGGAATTTAGCTAGGAGCTGCGACTGCAGTCACAACACATGCATGAAATTTAAAGTTCAGAACTCAATCACTGGTGTTGCATGTTCATAACTGAGTCCTATAAGCAAGCTTAAGCAATTAGGCGGCATTTTTGTCACCATGCACCTATGTCACCTGAAAATTGGTGTACGTAAACTAATTTTGGTGGCATGTTTTGCATCATTAAGCGCTTGTGGAACTGGAAGCAAAAAGCTTTAAAAATCTTATGTTTTGTCATACAGGTATGTGTTGAAGATTAATTACTACAAACTCAGATACAAATAGGACGCACTGGGGCGCAATACGGCTCAATGGGTTAACTAGAGACATTGTCAATGGATTAACTATAGAGACACTGTTTTTGGTTAACCCATTAAGCTGCAGACTGCTTCCCCACTGACGAGTAAAATTGTCTCAAATTTGCGGCTTAATGGGTTAAGGCAAGCTCACTATTTAATTAAGGGACTCAATCACCTAGCTGACTGAGTCGGCTGCTACTGCGAGCTTAAATTAATAGCTTATTTCCTCCATCTGAAGAAAAACCATTTTAATTATTACTACAGTCTTTGCATGTATATCATTGATAAGTAAAATGGAAAATCTATTTTAGGGAATAATTATTGCCATATTGGCATTTTTACAACAAAGAAGAAGTTTTAAGAAAGAAGTTTGGGGAGGTCGACCTGGAATTGTTGTGTGAGTATTAAGGCCATTTCTGTGTGAGTATTAAGGCCATTTTTCTTGCAACTTGCAATGCAGTTCCACTCTTGAGAGATGTTAATTAGTGAAATCAGTGAAGAATTTTCGATATGTTGAGAAAACATCAGCGGAGTGTAATGAAGACTCGTATTTGGCAATTTTACATCTCTCAAGAGTAGAATTGCATTGCAAGTTGCAGGAAAAAATGCACTGTGTAACATGGCCTTAAGACAGTATAAATTATTATAAACATTCCTGACAGACATGTCAGCTAATTGAGTGTCAATCTAATTTACATACGTCTGTCTTTTAGACAATCAATCCATTAATGAGCAATAATGCTCCAATTGAAGAGTAAAATCATCTAGCATAATGGCAGTAAAATAATAAAGACTGAGGGCATTTGTGGTGACGACGAGCCGAATGTTATTATCCCATTGAGCGTCAGCGCTCTCCCTTGATGAGTAAAATCGTCTGGCGCCATTAGACAGAGTAAAATATACAGGGGCGGATCCAGGATTTTTCGTACGTTAGTCAGGGTTACCAGATTGCTGAATAAATAAGCCAAATATTATTATAATAACCTTTTGTTTTCTTTGTTGGAGACAAAGACATCAAAAGGCCGCTTATAACAATGTTTGGCTTATTTATTCAGCAATCTGGCAACCCTGACGTTAGTCAAAGTTTTCGGATGTACAATCTAGTTTTGCGAGCGGGGAATGCGCGAGGATCCTAGGGGGGTCTATCCCCCAGGAATTTTTATATTTTTAAACCTCAGAAACGCAATTTGCATCACTCTGAAAGCAGCTTGAACAAAAAATTAACTTCATGAAATGGGAGATAATTATAGCAACTATCAGTCGGACTGACTCTCACAACTCGCTCCTTAGGGAAAAATAAAGGAGAAGTACTTGCAAAAATGTGATAATTGTGGAAGATGTTTCATTTTATCAAATTACGGATTGCTAGTATTATGTTTAAAGTGCTTATGAAACGAAATTTTCGATTTTAATTTTTTGGTCTGTTCTGGTAGTATTTTGTGCGCTGAGCACAATGCGCTTGTTATTTTTTTATGTTTTTGGACATAAGCACCCCTTTTCAGCGTTTAAAAATTTGCATTTTTGAGAAAAAGGCATCCGGAGTCTGGGCCCGAGTCGTGACGTCACTGGTTAGAGTCGTGCTTGAACAACAACAGAAATTTATAGTGAAGTAGCTTGTTTTTAAACCAGAAAAATGTCTGATGTGTCTTCAGAATCCGATAATTCTGATCAGGTATCCGTTGGCAGCGTCAGTAGTGAACGATACAGTTCAAGCGATAGCGATGAGTACAAGTTTGAAGACAATTTCTTGCCTTATCAAGACGAGCCCTTGGCCAGCTCTAGTGACGACCAAACAGAAGAATTAAGCGATGAAGAACTCGATGAAGACGGGATTTCTCGACCTGTCTTGGAGCAACGATACGAAAAACAAATCCCACTTCAACAGTGGTAAGGATTTCATATTTTGCTGGTGAAAATTCTTCATCTCAAGCGATAAAATACTCAGGTTTTCTCATTGCTTTTTTTACTATAGGTGTACATGTGGTGGATGTGATGATTCGCTTCTTGTCGGCGCTCGTGAATTTCGATGCTGCAAGGAAATACTCGAAGCTACAGGGAAATTTACGTTCGAAGGGATGAATGCAGCATGTATTTTAAGCCACCATGACTTTGCTCCAATGACGAACCGAACAGTCCTGCTGCAAGTTGGACCTTTGCTAAGAGATAAGAGTGGGAAACGATACCAAAAGTCTGGCCATACAGAAAATGAGTAAGTGCCTGATTTTTCAATATAAAGTAATATTACTTATATTGATGCTACATAGATTATACTCTGTACATCACTACCATCTTTTGCAATCTTTTTCTTGATAGGTTTCTGCGAGCTGTTGCTTACAGATGGTTAGCAAGATGGCTGTTTGGGGAAATGGGATGGGAAAACACCAGACCTCTCTCTGCTTGCATATACCAAAAAATAAGGAAAACATTCGCCACAAGCAACACTGTTGGATACACTTCTGGTCAAGAAAGAGCAAGTGACCATTAAAGTTGGGGTATACTGTGACTGTATTTTAGGCCCTGTTTATATGAGACTGGGGCAACCGATGAAGTCTGACTGGGATGAAAATCAAGACCGATACTATCTTTCAATTTATTCCCCTTGCCCATCATTTTCTTACAGTGCTTTTGTGAGTATGCATTGTTCTGAAGCCAAGAGCACTGCCTAGATCAGTCTGAAATGTATTTGTGTTTACATTCACCCCACTCCAATTCATCGAGGCCTGAAGATAGTCAATTCAGCAAGCGGGATAGCTTCAGACCGGTCTGACCAATTTAATTTCGTCACAGCCTCATGTAGACATCTATTATAAATAATACTCTGGTCAAAATCAAATTTTCCCGGTTTGACTTCATCCCAGTCTAATGTAAACAAGGCCTTATTTTTAAATGACCTGTAGAACACTACTAAGGGCCTGTTTATATGGAAGCCGCCCGGCTGGCCCGCTTAGTGAGACAGGATGAATTTCTCTTGTGTTTACCGGGCTGTCTTGCTTAGCAGGCCAGGCCGGCTTCCATATAAACATATATGGGATCCAGGCCAGCTTGATAAGTGGCATGTATTCTGCCAAGAATAAATATTATCTTACTTGCTAGAATGATTAGGCAGTTAAAACAATAGCTAGCATTTTCCTATGAAAATATTTGTCTTAATTGTTTGTATGTCCAATTCACAAAGGAACTGTAGTGGCATGATAATATCTTGTTAAATAGTCACCCTACTCAATAGACCCTTCCAATGCTAGCAATGCTATAATAAAACACAATAGCTAGTGCAAGGGGTACAAACACAACAGAATTCCCTATATATAAATTTGCAAGGGGTGCAAACACAAGGGTGAAAATATTCAAATGGCATCTTTAACCTTGGAAGGGCCTATTGGCTGACCTGACTCCTTAATTTAGTTTCTATGATATGAATACAAATTGACCATCCAGCCTTGCATAAGCTTTGTTAAATGCATGAGCTTTGGTAATAAATAATGGTCTTTGTTTTTGATACCAGAAATAGAAAAATAAACAACATTTACAAATTGACATGAAGTTTATGTCACCTAGAAAGAAAGAGCTAAAACATAGATTATATACAATCCAAAGTTTTGAAAGTATTTAATCTTGATCAGAGATTGTCAGCATCATTCGTTACTGTCTGGGGGTGCAGTTGCTGCATCAGGGCAGTGAGACCGAGGATGACCTTTCATCGGTTGCTTGCACTTTTTACAGCATCTTGTTTTTTTTTGTTTTGGTTGTTGTTGTGCCTGCTTCTCTTTTGCCATCTCCTCAGTTTGTATTTCACCTGCAAATTTGAATTGGATTTAGTATATGTATTGGCAGGGTGTTAGTGCATTTTAATTAATAAGAGAAAATTGAATACCTGATGGGAACAATTCTGCTACTTTTCGTTTCCGAGCACTATTCCTTGTGATAGCATCGTCCCGAGGAGTTTTATTTGTGAATGTACTGTTTAACGGTTCAGGGACCTTTCTCTTGTACTTCTTCTTGATCTTGTCTAGGTCATCTTCAGAGGTATTAAACATAACCTCCCTCAGATCTTCTACATAGCCTATAAAGTAAAACATAAGAGAAATAACAAATTAGAGCATACTGTGTTTGAAAGGTATTGGATTAATTGTCATGTGACAAAAACAGATAGTCTGATTAGTCATTGTTTGATCAATGTTATTCAGTACAATATGTTCACAATTCAGACTTGAAAAAATTCTGGTTTCAAATTTGTAATTAGCCCATATGACCAAGATTACAAGATAATGCCTAAAGTAATGCCTTTACAAGTAAAATTGTCTAGTGTTACAGTTAGAGTAAAAAAGACAAAGTTGGGGGCTTTATGGGTTAACAAGACAGAAATTTTTACATCCAACATACCATATGTTGGCGGTACAGGGATATTTCGCACAACTTCCTCCCCAAATTTAAATTTTGGGTATGTCACGCTAACATAGTTCTTGCCATCTCTTGTTGTTTTTGTAGTCTGGTTCACATTCTCATTGAAGTGGAGGGTAGCAAGTATGTGCCTAAAGAGTAAAGATAAAAAAAAACAATACTAAATAACATTTCTACTTCAGGTTCAACTGAAAAGGCTATTTTCTAATTAGAGTATATTGTATTGGGGGGGGAGACATATTAGAAAAACATTACAGTACCTGCAATATGTCCCAAGCCATGAAAAGCAAATCATTTTTGGATGCCATTGATTCAGCGTGGAGTGAAATCCCTCCAATGAACTTGTTTGTGCATCAGGAGAGAGTTTCTTCAAACCGTTTAAAAAGGACTTCTTCATAATGATGCCCTGCAACTTGTCATAAGCCCTGGTTCCTACAATAGATATTCCCAAATGTCATTGTGCTACTGTCAGGGTCGTGCTGATTG